TATTAATACTATTCTTATCGTTATCCGTCATATCGCGTATATTATATATTAAAAAATATGAAAATATACGACAGACGTGGATAGATAAATCATAGACTCACCGAATTGGCTTCTTTGGGAGATTTGATCAGAAGTTGAGGCGTGTTCCAAAATACGGGTCACCAATTGTATTCGAATTGGGATTACCAATTGTAGCGTGGCGTCGAGTTGAGATTAACTATGAACACCGCTACCAAGAAACACGTGCCAAATGAATCAGAAGGCGAGGGTTGGACGTAACCAAATAGATCCATAAAATCCCCGAGAAGCCAAATACCAGAAGGCAATTAATGGACCAAGTCGAGTTATATTTGGCTGGCGATCTCGTGGCATCGCAAGGATACCGAGATCGTGCCAGGATACAAGCTTGGTTACAGAAGGTAACCGAATTCGCGCGAAGTTACAATTGAAGTGTAAGTATAAGAATGGAAGCACAAAATAGCTGTCATTAGCACAGTCAAACAAAAGCACGTTAAAACAAACACTGGTACAGTTGGTTATAATAATAAGCGTTTTTATTAAACCAGTCGTGTTCTCGTGATAAATGTGAGCCAGTACAACTCTTTAAACAACTATTTTACAGTCACTCATTGTAAATGTGCAAATTATGGGAATTAATGAAAGAAATGCAAATAGTATAAAAGCTAAATATAAAATAAGCTTGTCGTATCTATCTCCACATATCTACGGTGAACTTTTGTTGCTTGGCCTGATTCATTGAGACAGAGTGTTTATTCCATTTCGTTGAGAATATTTCCATTGATTTTAATGTACGTAAGTTTTGTATTTAATGAAAACGTTTGCTGTATAGCTCGTTATTTTGTAACAGGTAAAAGTTTGATTGTTGGAGTATTTTGAACTTTTTTATATTTGTTGCTATTCGATGGTACCACAGATGTGTAATCACAATAGTACTTTACAATAGTTATGACCATGGGCTGTGAATGACTAAATGAAACTTCGTACCGTATACAGAAAAACGAAGTGGTCAGGCTAAGTCAGACTGATTTTGGTTTTTTTTTTAGATCATTTTCTGCTTTCAGACAAAATACTTGAATTTTGGTGGTTGCAATAAGTACATCACTCATTTTTTTGGTTTTGTGAATGTACCAGAGGATGACCACTTGCTTTAGTTGAACGTTCAGATGGATTTATTTTAAAAGAATGTTTCACTTGGAATAAATGGATTAACAGAAAGATAATTATCATCTTAATTGGTTATTCAGTTATATTGTGGTGTGCGCTACCGATGTCAACAGATATAAGTAGTATATATAGTCAATCGAACGTGAAATAACTGGAGGCAGAAGGTTATGAAGATCAAAGAAAAGAGAACGAGAACAGAGAACGATTGCTGTCGAAATCAAGGAATAGTAAAGTCTGAGACGACTGATTAACATTTTGCAAATGAAATATTTAGTGTATGGTTCTCAGATTTTACTAAGATGATCTGTAATTTTCTATCCCAATACATTCGATTTTCCCCGTTTGTGTTCTCATTCACTACACCATTAGTAAGATACTATCAAATTTAGTCTCTACAGGGGACAACTTGTTACCAATGTTTTATTGAAAATCAGGGCTTCAACAATGAATATGCTGAAAATAATAACAATACAATCAAGGTAAAGTTCATTATAGTTGAAAAGATTACATTTATATCTATGTTCTATTATAATATAAAGTGTCAGTCAATTTATTCATGAACAGTAATTCGATTGTGATAGAAATTTCTGTAAACAACGTTGTGGATTGCTTTAAATTCATCGACTTAAATTAAATAAGTAACCAAGTAATAATCAACTAAAAAATTATTCGATTTAAATGATGATAATCAGTGAATAGGTAATCAGGATTTATATGTAAACCAATATATTATACTGTAGTGAACGAGAACACAAGTAGGGACAATAGAATATATTGGAATAGAAAATTACAGTACACCTTAGTAAAATCTGAGTACCATACAATAAATACTTCATTTGTGAAGTGTCAATCGGTTGTCTCAAACTTGAGTGTTCCTTTTGCAAATGTTAACCAATCATCTCAGACTTCAATGCTCTTTCGTTTCTACACCAGTCATTCTTTGTTCTCATCCTCTTTTCTTTCACACTTTTAACCTTCTACCTCCAGACGTTTCACTTTCGATTGATGATACATACTACTTATATCTGTTGACATCAGTAGTACACACAACAGTACATGTAACAAAAGAAATATATTTGTAATTATTACTCAAAACAAGCTGAAATCGGCGAGAATCTAATTTATGGACGACCTTTAAACGAATCTTAAGCGACCGTGAGAAATATTAGCCAATTAGCGAACAGTAATATAGAGTAAAAATATATTATACAAAACCAAGGAAATAAATTGGATACAATTCTTATATGTGGTTCAAAAACTTGCCAAAGTTAGAAAGAGGTTCAGAGGTTCTAAAATCGTAATGCATCCAGTGGAGGAAATCATCCATACGGCTACAGAATAGTCGGCCTCTGGAGTCACGATAGTCACAAATACTCTTTCAGCCTCGAACACATAGCTTCAAAATTGTTTATGTGCACTCCGGTTGTTGAGTGCACAAAATGCCACTTGTGGATAGCGATAAGGTGCACATAACCAAGTCTATGTAGGAGTCTATTCTCTCTACAAACATCTGTATATATTGTAGTACCTGGTTGCAGCCAGTGTTACTGCTGATTTTATTATCCAGTTCGCGATAATTGTCACAATTTACCTCAGTTATGAATAATATATGGGGTTTTCATCACGAACTGACATCAGCTATAATGCCAGATATTTATTTAGCCAAATGGATGAAAGCCTTTCGTGTTCAAATCTGAGATATATTATCTTATACCTGATTGATTCGTCTACAAATTATAGTGTCGCCGATTTATTTGTTATAGCCGCTCAATTATCACGTTTTGTACAAAATTCCTTGTGAATTCATCGTACGTCAGCATTAAGCATTGAAGTTGGCGCCATAACCTTGAAATCCTTCAGGCCCCTTAGATTGGCTCTTCCATAAATTAGAGTCTCGCCCTGAAATCTATTATTAAATTGTTAAAATTCCAAATAATATCGGATAACTGTTTTATTCAAATTCATAATTCTTTAATATTGTACACTTAACAATTTGCAAAAGATTAAACATCAACTTTTTTAAATCTTGCTTATGTCAATAACAAGAAATTCTGATCATTCATTTCAATTAGTCATTAGAAAGTTACTAGTTTATTTTTAGTTAATCTAATTCCATAACTAATAACTTTATTTATGTTAGTCATTATTGAACCATTCAAGATTACAAATCTGTATAAGCAATATGCATCATAAGACAATCTTTTTGTTTTAAAAAAAGAAAAGCAGGTCAACAAAAATGTTTGTTAAAATAAAGTAAGAATGAATATTAGTACCCTAGAGATAAATATTTAATGGAAATCTTTTATAACGAACATAAGTAAAATATGAAATCAATTGTATTTTAAGATTGTTTAATATATGTTTTGTTCCATTTGAAGTGAATATTCAGACAAGGTTATTTTAATGTACAAGTTATTTATGAAAAATATATATATGAAGGTAAGTATATTGATATAAATGGTATTCTGATGAGGATACGATTTTGAAATGGTTCTTGTTCAACTTAAACTTGTCATTGTTTACTTCTTTGTTTTGGTTGCATCTTCCAACATCGAGGTCTACAGGACAAGTTGTGAATCATATGTGGAGAAATTCAAACACTTCACTTCTACCTGAAGTTTGTGCTGAAGATGTCGTTCAGAAGAACGATGAAAAATCTACGACCAAATCATCCAGCTCAGAGAATAAAACTCCATCAAAAAGAGAATGCGATTGTTTTATACTAATATGGAAATTCACTTAATATATTTGTTTTGCAGATAAAATTATTGCCTTGAAGTTAAATTATATTATCAGCTAAAGAAGCAGTAGAAACAAACAATCATGGGAGAACTTCTTTGTGTTAGGCAGTCGCCCGATTATGTCATCCGTACTATGTATACGCGAGCGCGATTTGAGTGGGAAAATAAGGAATAAATAGGAAGCTTTATTGGCTAACCGAAGAGAAGTATGTACATTCATTAATGAAGAGATATGGTTCTTACATAGATGAATCTAATCTCGTCCAATGGCGTCCACCTATCAAAATCTGTTACCTATTATTTTGTTTTGAGCTGGCATGTCTGACTGACCCAGCCTAACACTACTTTGTCTTTACTTGGAACTTCAAAACAGCGTACATCAAACGACCCAATGGTTCTTTCAATAAAGACATTCTGTGATAAAAAAATAAATCCAGATTGAGCATTTTCAAATAACCCTAAGCTTTGTGACTAAACTATTAATAAGGATTTTAACCTCAATTCAAGTTTTACTCTTAAATTCATATTTACAATAAATATTTGTTTGTCTAAACTAATTATTGATATTTGGACGAAATTTTCTAAATTTAAAATCACGTCCGAATCTTCACAACTGAAAGGTCATATCTCAATAACTCCACTAAAATGGTTAGTCACCCACGCCTCCAAATCCGAAACTTCAACCTAAACCAGTCGTAATCAGAATATTTTTAGAACTAATGCACATATTAAGCCCAAATTAGTGAAAGGTCTAGTTACTTAAATCGATAACAACAATTTAATACAGAATACATGGAATATGGCTAACAGTGAAATTTAGGACGCGTGTTTCGTCCGATTTGGGACTCTTTAACTAGATTTACTTACATCTTAAAGTTGAAATTCACCTAAGGAATCGAACTCAGTATCATTCACTTCAAACGCCAACGCATTATCCACTTAGCTGTTGAGTCCAAATAGTCAATCAATTTTTGCAATGGATAAGAATGTCAATGGAATGTGTTATGCTTTAAATTACCCCATTGTTGATATAATAACCACACAAATGAAGAAGAGAAAAACCGATCAGCATTTGGGATATATATGTATATATAATATTGAAATTAGTTTTATTTTTTGTACACGTTCAATAGAAGAAGATGAATAAAGAATGTGAAAGCGGAGTTAACCAAAATAAATAGCATTAATAGATCTTAGTTATGTTAAAAACAGAGAAAATCATAATAGTATTACAATTTGACGTATCTACGCTTGTATAAAATATACAACATTTGCAAAAAAAAGAAAATAAAACTGAACAGAGAAAAAAATAATAGTAAAGCATCACAGATTAATATTCATTCATCAAATAAGTTTAATCAAAAAACAAAACAAAACAAAAGAAAAATAAAGTTGCTAGGAAGAGAGAGAGAGAGAGAGAAAAGTTTCCATAGAAAAAAACACACTGAAACATTGAATTCAAATAAGAAAACTATGCAGTGATTTGTTTGGCATTTGAAAAAGAGATAGTAAATATTTTGAGATTATTGAATAGAGAGAGAGACGGAAAAAATCTGATAATTCATATATAGTTTTTGTTTTTAATCGAATAACAATTGCTGCTTGTTTTTCTAATAACAAAAGAGAGAAAAAACGAGAGAGAGAGAGAGGGGAATTTGTATTATTCATTAATTTGTGATTGTACTCGATGTATCAAGATTCGATGTGTATGTTGTGTCTGTTTCATTAGTATTTGAAGATGAATTGCTATCACTGATCTGATAGTTATTCGAATTATTGGAACGTGATAAAACAACTTCAGAATAAGAAGGCGGGGAATTTGTGTTGGTGGTAGTAGTAGTAGTCGTAGTAGTAGTAGTAATATTAGGTGATGATGTTATATGCATTGATTCAAGTTGTGATTGTTCGATTTCTGTTGGATTTCCTATATTTAAAGTAGTGGTTATTGACGTTGATGTATTAACACATTGTTTAGCTAGTAGATCATTAGTAGATTGAATTTCTGAATAAGCTGGTGGTGGTTGAATGATATGCTTTAAACTGGAATAAGCGGGTGGTGGAGGTGTAGTACGAAATCCATCAGAACAGAGAACATTAGGTCGTCCAAAATCTATAGAAAATAAACAATAATGTTGATAAAGGAGAAAGTTAAAGGTAGGAACATTAGACAATACTAGCCCCAATGTATTTAATTAATTAGAAATAACGGTTTATTGGTCGAATGAAAGATTAGAAATAGGAGAATATAATGAAAATGTAATAAACTAAGCACCTAATAATTATGCAGTAATTTCTACTACGGTATTTCTGAAAGTTCAACCGTTCACAAATCCTTTTCGATGTAATAAATACATGTTTGTGATAAATGTAACATATTTAAAACAAACGATCTGAAGACATATCTACTATTTCGAATTGTTGAAAAAAATGTGCATTTCAGCAACCGTACATAACTTTATTCTTACGTCTGAATGGTTGACATTTAAACAATTCTTATAGTTTGGTCGGAAACAGTAAGAAATGATTTTAAGTGTATAAACCAGTAGTAATGATACAGTTGCGGAAATAAGGTAAGATGGTCGGTCACTTAGTAACTGAAGTATTTGATTTCCAATTTTCAAATCCTTCCAATCCACCTGGTTTTAAATAACCTGTTAGGGATGCTGAGGAATAATGTGTCAATCATTATCATGTTAAGTCTAATGATGTCCTTGGACGTTAAATGAACGTTTCTTATTGGCCATTATTTATTTCATTCGTTAAATATTGTAAAATGTTGTTTTCTATTTTTATGGTACGATGTGGTATGTTTGGTTAGTATATAAATAGAGTATGTCTGAAATACAATGATTCATAACTCAGAGGCTGTGACTTGTGTTCTGGACTCAACTGACTGGGCTAGACAGGGAAGCGGGGCCAATCGGGACTCTAGGTCGTCCTTACGTGTTTTACGTGTCAGTGTAATCGGTCGATATAAACGCTGCTTATCAAAACCTGCAGTCCACTCGTTACAACATAACCGAACGGTAACACCAGCCTGAAACGGACACATATTCAAAGTGCGGTTAAAAAAACGGAGAGTTACATCAATAGAACGGATCCCTAGACGTTCTTTCATTATTTTGTGAAGTAAAGTTTTGGGTGTTAATAGTAGATGAATTTATCAATGATGAAATCGGGTGATACATGTGTTATATAACAAAACAGGGCTGTAACACGGAATCAATAGCTGTATAATAGTCTGTTCAGTACGAAAAGTGAGCGTTAATTAACGAACTATGGCGCAAAACAGATGGTGCATTGGGGGCTTAGTGACTGAAGCATTCGGGTCTCAACCAATGAGTTCTAACTATATTTCACATACGTCGGTTAATATTATTATTATTAGTCTTCATAGGAAACTAGAATGATCCAAAGTTGTAATCGAAATTCACATACGGCAAATGAGTGACACTGAGTAAGACAATGATGTCGTATACTCTCCTCACATCTGAAACTATTCACTTATCAGAAAGTAATCAATTCAAAGAGCTGTTTCTTAACACTCACTAGATCACAAATGAAACAATGTTACTATTACAAACAATCTGATATTGTTACTTCGGCATGAAGAATTATAAGTGATAGTACTGAGTCATGGTGATAGTGACTAACTTAAATGAAATCAAAAGTGTTTACTGAATAACGGTACCAATTCACTTGAAAGAAATACAAAGCTAAATCAATGTGATATGATATAAATTGTTACAAAATAATACTTTATCAAACAAATGACTTATACGTTAGTCTTTGTTTGAATACCGACTTTTGAATATGAATAATCATTTTAAGGCATTTTTTTGAAAAATTACAAACTATGATATTAAATTGTATACTTAATATTGAATTACTTCTATTATGGATTAATACCACTTCTGCATACTATTTCAGGCATTTTGTTAGTGTTCAATATTGAGTTTTATAGTTCAACAGAATAATTTGAGATAACTGAGACTGTAAACCGATCAATGTTAAATCTCCATTTAAAACCTGGGAGCACTGCACGGCCATTTCATCCTGATTTGGGACTCCTTAGCAGTGCACACCTATGATTCCACACACAGGATTCGAACGCAGAACCTTCGATGTCGAGTGAGAACGCCAAACCTCTAGACCACTGAGCCGTCGTCTAACAGTGCTAATGTTTAACTTCAACCAATCCACTAGGTTAAGCGTTCGTGCACAAAACCGAAGGTCTTAGGTTCGAACCACACATATGGGATCGTGGATGCTCACTGTTGGTGAGTCCCATACCGGGACGAAACGGCCGTCCATTACTTTTAGGTTTTCAGTGGTGGTCTAACATTAATCAGTTCATGATCCCATTCACAACTCAATGCTGATAATTTGTGATAATAGTAAACGAAAAAAATGGCTTAATAGTGAAAATATCATTGTTTTACTAAATATTATATCAAATGTTTTCAGTACGAATATCGAACAAAAAAATGAAGTATGAATAGTTCTCTCTACACGTCTCTTGTAATTTATCATGTAAATATGAAATATGATTGGTTGTTGTTAGCAATTATCTTATCCCTTATCTGAGCCTATATCGTGCTTTTTCATCCCACATAATTTCAATATTTTAATCTTGTATTTGCTTATTATTTTTTTTCGTACAAACGAACAAACTTAGTCTAATTTAATGTCAATTGATTGATGAATAAATTGAGTCCAATGCTTGTAGAATAGAAAGGGAAATTATCAGAGAAGACATCGTTCTTGTACTGATTGAAATAGGAAGGGTGTATTTAGAATTGAATTAAATTAAATTGAAAGCAACACATTTTTATTGCCTCATATTAATTTAATCATCCTAGTTATTGAATGTAAAATCTTTTTAACAATTTGTAGATGTTAAAACTATCTTTAAATGGAGAATAATTTGAAACTATGTACATTGGTATTTGCTAGATTAGAAGACATACTTAAAGCATATTTTTGTTGTTGTGAACGTATTTGATTAGTTAAACTGCAAAAATAAAATAGATTAGTTTAAATAGTGTTCAGGTATCTTGTTTTTGTTTTTTCTTGTTACCGAGTTGAGAAACCTTGATTCTAAAATTTGATAATGATACATTCTTGTAAGTAAGCATTTGGGAAATAGGATAAATGTAATGTATTTCGATATATCATTCATAGTATATGTTAAATTTTAAATATAGTGAATGAGAAGTATGGTAAAAATGATTCGTAACTCTATTAGGATAGAATAATCTAAAGTTGAAGAGTTGAGAGATGTATGCCAAAAAACTGCTTGTCACGACGTACAATGTTACCTGGTTTGGGAGTAAGTTGGAAAATGGATAGGGACGACTAAACCAAGATATGACACCAAGTTCATGAAGTCATTAACTTTTAGGCTGAGCAAATTATTGGGTTAGTGTCTACGCGATTGTCATAATTAATGGGTTGAGATATTGAGTGACAGTTTAGAATGGATTGCAATGACCCAGATCTAATCAATCTGCCTTCTTTTAGATCTCGAGTTTTAAAATTATCTAATACTTTTTGTTGTGCAATTTTACTTTTTTTCCCGAGTCATATTGTTTATGTTTAATCTTTTACGCCACTATTAACATTGATAGTAGTTATGTTACTCTAATAATTGTCTTAATAATTTCATCTGGCCAGGATGATGTGATGTGGTAACTTGAACCGAAGCATATAAGTGTCATATTTGTAAGCTATTTAATTGATTGACTAGTTGAATCAAGAACACTAAATCGTCCTACATAAGTCAAACTATAATTTACCAGTCACACACTAATATCATAGATTGATATAACGAGTATGAAGGTTGTTCTATTACATCTTTTTTCGCTACTGATAAATATTCTACATTGAACACGACTGACATTGAATTCCTAAACTTTTCCTATTTCACAGAAATATTTAACTTTGAATCCCAAAAAGAAAAAAAAACAGAATACAAGAAATATGAAAGCACTTTACTTTGTAGGTTAATTTATATAATTTCGATAGTTGAGATCATGAGTCAATTAAAGCTAGACCGTTTCGTCCTATTAAGGGACTCCTCAGCAGTGCACATCCACGGCCTCGCCTCGCGGGATTCCAACCCAGCACCTACTGAACTCGCGTGCGAGCACCTAACCACTAGACCACTAAGCCGGCATCCAACGGTGTTAATGTCTAACTTCAATTAGTCCACGAAATTGAGCGATACATCCACCATTGTCATCAGCGAGTTACTATCTCACAACTGACCCGGTTGAACTCCACTGATCACTGCTTCTCACTTGAAACTAGCTTCAATTGATTCATGATCTCAACTATTAAAATTACTAACATCTCCAAAAAACTCATTCTCATGTTAATTTATGTAATTACGAACTGTAGGTAATCTTAAACATTCTAGAAGCATCTGAAAACGATGATTAATACTTTATCATCACTTAAAGGTCGTCCATAAATTATGGCCTTACTGACTGAAAACTTATTTTTTTTTAAGGAATTAAAGAATGCAATGCATTAAACTACTTTCTTTTATCAAACTATTATTGTGTTGTCGGTCGAAGTCAATGTTCAATGATCCATAGAATATTTTTCATTTTATCGATTCATTATACTCATGATAATGATAATAATCTTTGTACTTACAAATATATGAAGTAGTAATAATAATAATAAATGATTATGCCAAATATATTTTGTTCAGTCATATGGTATGATTCTGATTATTCAGTTAGAAAACTTGTTAGTTCTAGTTTTGTGACCTATATGATATACAATCAGTATACTTCACAATTAAGCAGTGATTGACACAGCATGAATGCAATTGAACTTAAGTTGTTGGTTGATTCAAATATTATATAGTGAATTTAATTTATGGAATATTACATTTTATTTGTTCAGCTATTGACCTGGTTGAAAAATTTAAGATATTCTCAATTTTACTGTTAAATCAAGAACTTGAATTTTTACTATACCGTGTATAACTTGAGTACTCGAACGCTTGAATCCTTTAAGTTGCAAGTTAGAAAATAGGAGAGAGAGGGGAAGAAATCATATTCCAACCAGTTAAATATGATACAAAACAATCGGGTATTTATAGTTTATAATAAAAACGAAATCATCCTTACAATCATTCAATCTGCATGAGGTGGTTTTCGCATTTGTCCAATTGGGAAGCTATACGACGAGATTCGGGAATGTTCTTTCAAATGATGACTGGATGGAATGTTTTTGACTCTTTTAGAGCTTTTTAGTGCTTCCTTGAGTTCACCAGGGGTCATCCTCACATTTAACATGTACAGTTTACTAATTTAGTTATGTAAACTTATGTTCTGCGTCTGATTTCAGGCGAGATGAAGGTGTAAAGTCTCCTCGAACGTTTAAAGTGGTTCTTTAATGGTTAAGTTTTAGTATAAGTCATTCGGAGTTAAAAATATAAGTAATACAACATTTAGGCTTATTATTTATCCAGTGAAAAGCTTGTAAGTTGATGGTAATGTGTAAGAAAGTTATATGCCGGGAGCACAAGAAGGTCAGCATTAGTTATAGAATCATAACATAAAACGAAACATTTGTCTAGTGGTTTTTCATTTATGAATTCTAGTGAGGTTAATAGAGTTCAACCGTGTTGAACACTAATTAGTTAACCATCAATGACTAATGGGGTCAGAAAATGGTAGTGAAATATGTCGAATCGATTGAATTTAGAAATGTGAACCATTGTGTGAAGATTAACTGATCTAAAGGCTAACAAGGATGGAGCAAATCTCCAGTATTTTCTACTTTTCAATGGTTATTTCTTGAAAATCAATTCATGATGTAAACTATAAATGAGTAAATCTAACCTGGTTTTTTGTCAATAAAGTAAGATTGATGCAATAAAAAAAATAATTACAATTCTAACAAAAAACAAAGTATTACATAAGACAATGGAAATAATCAAGTGAATATAACATACATGAAGAAAGATTACACCAATTTGAATTTGACATATTATTCGTACTTTCTATACCATGTATACTATTTGAACGATATGGTCTTGTTTCCCATATATTAAATGGTGAAGAAAATCCACCAGTTCGAATACGTCCAGAACGTGATGAACGTGTATGATGATAATGATGTCTATTTGTTGTTGTATAAGTAAGATCAGATAATGAACAATATGGACGTGTATTCAAATTATTACGACGTAAATAAGCTCTACGACCAACTAAACTTAACCATGTTAATAGACAAAAACATGCTAAAAGCATAGCTGGTATTTTAAACCATGAATAAGCAGTTTTACACGGTCGACATAAACATGGATCAAGAAAATATTCACTAAAATACCAAAAACCAAAAGAAAAGAAACGAAAAGAAAACGGTTAATAATAATATATGTAATAAACATTGTGTAATCATGATCATGATATTAACAGGATACTTAGAAATAATTAAAAAAAACTCCGTTCTTTTTACTAGTTTCATTGTCTCAACGTTAAATGTGAGGATGGCTCTTGGTGAACTCAAGGAGACACTAAGAAGCTCTGAAAGAGTCAAAAACATTCCATCCAGTCATTGTTTGAAAGAACATTCCCGAATACTCAGAAATAATAAAAAAATCCATTCTTTTTACTAGTTTCATTATCTGAATGTAATAGTTTATTTGTGAAGTTTTCGTTAGTCTTTTCAATGACAACAACAAATGTTGAGATTTTGGATAGAAGAAATAAAAAGACCAGAGAATTTTTGAAAGCTTGCGATTCAGATCAGTTGGCAAGTAATAAAAAAACCATCGAAACCGATTATATTTATTAACTAATTCGAAAAATCATGGATAAATATAATATAAAGAACCAAATCATAAAAATATATTTGAAGGTATTTCATTGAAATCATAAACCAGTCAGTTAGTATCAACGTAGAACTTCGTACGTACGTACATCAGTTCGAGTTGCCATATCACATTAGCACAGAGATGCAGTTGTCGATTCAAATCCCGTACTGATAGAGGTAGTAAAAGTATAAGCAGTAATCGGGAAGATTAGGGTTTGAAGATGTTATTTAAAGAGTATGATACAGTGAAACAAATTTGGAAAGAGAAAAAAGAGACAACGAGGAATCAGGAGATTAGGATTCGGAAGAACACAAAGAGTGGATGCACCTGCACCATTGCAAACGATTTTCAGCCATGTCATTCAGGGTCAATAACCATCGGTTGCTGTCATCTCGCGGTCCCCAACCAGGTAGTCTACACCTACCAACATGACTCAGTCTACTTGTCAGTGACTTCATGGATTTGTGCCATGTTTTGGTCTGGCCGCCCCTAGCTTTTTTCCAATCTACTCCTGTACAACAAAACATCGCACATCGGTCAGTCGGTGGTTGGGCATACGTAATATATGTTCCAGTCATCTCAACTGATGAAGTTTCACTACGTCATCAATTGATTTGCCATCCTTACATAGTACCCGTTTCCTAACAACTGCATTACTTACTCGATGGTCCCATGATATACGAGCAATATTTCGAAGACACCTATGATCAAATACTAGTAACCTACGAATATCCTCTACTCTTACCGGCCATGTTTCACTGCCATAAAGTAGGACAGAACGAACTGCTGCGCAGTAAACACGTCCTTTGGTTGATAGACGGATATCTCGCCTACGCCATAAATGACGCAAGTTGGCAAAAGCTAGTCGAGCCTTCTGTATCCGTGCTGAGATTTCGTCACACACCAGACCACAAGGGCTGATGAGAATTCCAAGATAAGTGAAGCGGTCGACACACTCAACTACTTCACTCCCTATCACTAGTTCGGGTGTCGATGTAACCCAATCCTGAAGCAACATTTTGCATTTCGAGGGAGAGAATCGCATCCCGAACATGCCTGCATTGTTGCTTAGAGTGGTCAGAAGACTGCATTTTGTCATCGGCATATTCTAGGTCAAAAAGTGAATCTCTCGGTAGAAGTTCAACTCCTGAAAATTCAGATGAGGAAAGTGTTATCTCTAAAAGCACGTCAATGACAAAGTTAAACAAGAATGTAGAGAGTGGACAGCCCTGACTAACACCACTTGAGGTAATCAATTCTGATGACAGTTCACCATAAGCTCTTACTCTACCAGTTGTGTTCGAGTAGAGAGCCTTTATAAGGTTAATGTACTTCTTTGGTACTCCGTTCAGTGACAAACATTGCCATAGAACCTCACGATCAACAGAGTCGAATGTTGCCTTAAGGTCGAGAAATACTCAAATTTTGTGGCGTCTGAAGGTGTGTCTGTGTTCTAGAACCTGACGTAGTGTGAATATCAAATCTATACAACCACGTCCAGGTCGAAAAGCAGCCTGATTTTCTCTAGTCTGCTCTTCACGAGCTTTGGTTAGGCGTCGAAGTATTATTGAAGCTAATATTTTAGACACTATATTAGTCAAACTGATTCCTCTGTGATTTTCACAAGAGGACTTTTGTTCTTTCTTATAGACTGGCACAATCAGTTGTATAGCTGCAACAGACGGTCGCCATTATCTGTTCTTTGAGCCACGTCACCATAAGATCCACCTAGGTGTTAGCTTCGTTCTTCAAAGGGCCTTACTGCCGGAGACGGAAATCCGTGAGGTAAGGTGTGACATTTTTAGGGTCGACCTTTTCTAACCCCACCACTCCTTGTGAGAAGGCAGCATCGCTGTAGATGCTGGTTGTCTGAAGGAAACACCTTACTGCTGTCACACCCCTCTACAGTACGACTTCGCCCTCAGACTTTGAGTTGCTGCTTTTAGTCTCACCGTTCTACAATCAACCTGGCCGGCACGGTAGGACCTACAGGAACATATGTTCCAGCCAATATAGCTCGGTTGGGTCATCACGATAGACAAGCCCGACCACCGCGTCGAGCTAGCAGCTAAGGTCAGGAAATCATAAACCGATCAATATTAGAGCACCATTAAAAATCTGGAATCACTGGACAGCCGTTCCGAACTGATATGGGACTCCTTAGCAGTGCGCATCCACGACCCCTTTCGATAGAGACTCGGACCTTCGATCTCGTACATGAACTACTAACCCTGAGTTAATTCTGACATACTGGAAACTATAGTATTGTAGACTGAATGAAGGGGCCTTATCAAGCAGACAGAAGGCGGAAGTTGATTTAAATATATGCCTTAGTTTCTAATTTACATTTCACAACAAAACAGTTCGACTAATCACACTATATAAAAATCATTATAGTCTAGGAAGAGAGTTTGTGATCTGTCTGTGTACCATGTATATTTTTTCTTTAAATAACAGCATTATATTCTTGTTATGGTATTGAGTACATTATACCTTTATACTTAAGATCGTTGACCTTTATTAGAGCATCGGAATTTTAATCAATACATTACAAGTTTGAACCCGATTGTATCTATTTCGATTAAAGCAGTAGAATATAAACAACTCAGAACCTACCATACAAGTGCATCAGATCAAATTTTCACACCGCTTAGCACTGTGAGATGAAATTATCGGGACCAGAGTGGTAAAAGCAGTGACAATATAAGTAGTAGTAGAAGCCGTTAGTCATAAACAATATAATTTGTAAAGAGTGGATTCACAGAATAAAAATTAGGAACAACTCCAAAGTTCAAAAGTTAAGGGGAGACAGACAGTAAATAGATCTGCACTATTGTAACCGATTTTGAGCCATGCCGATCAACGTTCCCAAACATTGATTAAGATAATTGAATAAACTTTAACCGGGCAGTCAGAGCCTTCATATATGATATAGTTCAACAACAAACAACTTTATAGACTGACGCTACATTCTGACTTGGCTGTCCCTAGTTTTCTTCCAACTTACTCCTACAGTAGCCCACACTGTACGATGAGATGTTAGGCGGTGGTTGGATGGTATTTAAGTAACACTTTGAATAGTATTCATGATCACTTTATTCACTTAAGTTTGAATAGTCAATTAACAATCATAAGCGTAGCTGAAATTCGAGTACATAAACTTGTATTTGATAAATGGGTTCAATTTTTACAGATCACAGATCGCGTGAACTCTGTGATCTATCATTATCAATATCACGTATAAAGCAGCTTGTTTCAGTTATCTGTAGCCAAAAACCAAACTTCACTATTACACAAATAACTAGAAATCGAAAAACCAAGTAGCAAGCTACAAACAATGTACCGAACACTACAAGATTGACATTATCTTAATCGTTCTGGTTAAAAAAAGTCAACTCATTTTTTAAACATTCTCGACGCAACCAAGAAAAATTCTATGCTACAATAAATACTATATATATCGACAGCCGATATTTAGATCAATTCATCCTGAATATTCTGTGCTTGATAATTTATTTTAAAGCGAAAATAGAAACTAAATAAATAAATAGATATTAGGTACTACTATGTATGTTATTCGAAAATGCCATCTAGTAAATATTTTACAATGCATGAGCATGGAAAGTAAGATTTTGATAGAGGAATCTAATTGTTTTGCTATTCATACACATCATAAATACATGTGAAGCCTTCATAAATTCAGCGCTATTACGAGTAAATGAAAAGGTATAATACTAATATACAGGTATTTAATGTAAAGTTTGGCATATAATGTGCATTGATCCAAGTTACCATGCCGTATCAACATAGTGAGATATCAGAGTACGACAAGAAGAAATGGTATTCGTGATAGTAGAAAAAATTAGGCATAGATGATAGGATTCGAAGAAAAAATATGAATTTGTTGGATAAAAAAATCGAAGACTACTATGAAATTTAGAAGTTAGGGAAAGATAAAGAATGAATGTACATACATCACTGTGAATGATCCTAAGCCATGTTACCCGTAATCTCTAATCGCGTAAACCTCGGCCAAGGAATCTCTACATATTTATACAACTTAGTCCAATAGTTAACTCCATGGTCTGATCTTACGTTTTGATTTGGATGTTACAACTCATAAGTTACTAGTAGACTGGGAAATGAAAATGTAAATGGAGTGGACACTGCGACAGGTAACAGGAATGAGGGTACTAGAAGCGAATGAAGGATAACTAGATAAACAGAAAGACACACCAACGCACTAGTCCGAATAAACATGTACTAACTCAAACCGTCACCTTTTTACTAATAGCATATAAATAATATAATGAATTATAGAAAGACAGTAAGATAACAATTAACAATGTAAAAATATAAGAAACGATAAAATATTCAATGTATTGTTAGTATAAAGTTGTTGAGATTGTTAAATTTCATTGAAACCACGAAACAATCTAAGTTCCATAATCATTGAAAATCAGGAAGCACCGGACGGCCGTTACGTCCTAATATGGACCGTATAGTTCTACAGAGTCGGGTGTGAAGAGAATACCCACAGAAGACAATGACAGATAGCTGTGTAATATCGCTGATTGATTGGAATTAAAGATTAACAACATTTCATGCTGACCCAGTTGTCCAGAGGTTAAGCGATCGTGCTCAAAACCAAAGGTCATGAGTTCGATTCCCAGGCGCGATGTTATAGATGCGCACTGCCGAGGAGTCTCATGCTAAGAGGAAACGGCTGCCCAGTGCTTCCAAGTTTTCAATGATAGTTCAACTTAGATGTGCTCGTAATTTAAATGATATTCAAGATATATTGGGTTTAAAGTGAATATGAGGTGGGTTGTTTATATAAGATAAAGTGTTTTGCATAGAATGTGACACGCTTTATTTTTATATTTTAATGCAATAACATTCCCACATTAATTTACTGTATTTATCACGGTTTAAATGCACTCACACACAGTCGTGGTGACTACAATAAGTTTGATTATATCTGGGATTTCTGTTGTGATAAATACATACAATATTGTTAATTATTACATTATATAACTACTCTCTGTGATCGACTTTAAACTATGTTATCATTAGTGATTTCAAATTAACCGATTTCTGTAGTTTAAAAATTCCCATAGAATACTAAAATATGAACAATATTTGAGCGAACAATTATTTTCAATAACTTCATCTTCAGGCTCTATAGTTATAAGTCCATAATGATTGTGATATTTTTACAAAGGCCGAAATAATGCATGTATTAATGAATTTGACAATGTTGTATGTTAAAATAAATGGTGAACGTTTGCATCTGTTACGATATATATACTTCAAAATTGTGTTATTTGCAAATTAGATAGGTCATTTAATGAAGTTCAGAATGATTTGGAGTAAAGTATTCAATCACAATCAGTATAGCAGTAATATAGCAAAAATGAAAATAAATGAAAATCGTGTGAATAAAATACATAGTAGGAGAATTTCATCTTGTCAGTTGAGATAATAATAATAATAATAATAATAATAATATTGTTGTGTGAATGTACTATGTAATAAGGCGGGTGTTATCAAGGTAATTACGATAATTAAAAAAAATTCATGTGAATTAGGAATGATGGATGTAAAGATCAAAATAGATGTAATCAAAAAAAGAGGGGGTAAGATGTTTATAATATTCAATTTAGGTATCCGGTAATCCATTCGTAGAGGCTGAATATACCTTTTCTGGATACATAAGTTTGCTTTTCTGGAGGATGATCTAGATGCCTTCGGCTATGTAGAGATGCCGTAATCTAGCTGCCCGTCTCTATTTTTATTATATCTATTTTAATCTTCACATCCATCATTCCCGATTCGTTTATCGTAATTACCTTGATAACACCCGCCTTATTACATAGTACATTCACACAACAATATTATTATTATTATTATTATTATTATCTCAACTGACAAGATGAAATTCTCCTATGTATTTTATTCACACGATTTTCATTTATTTTCATTTTTGCTATATTACTGCTATACTGATTGTGATTGAATACTTTACTCCAAATCATTCTGAACTTCATTAAATGACCTATCTAATTTGCAAATAACACAATTTTGAAGTATATATATCGTAACAGATGCAAACGTTCACCATTTATTTTAACATACAACATTGTCAAATTCATTAATACATGCATTATTTCGGCCTTTGTAAAAATATCACAATCATTATGGGCTGATAATCGATTTCTATCATTTCGAGGATCTGAATCAAAACATTTGCATCTCTATAAATTTAAAACTATTTAACGAAATAAGGTTTATTGAAAGATAAAACAATTACTGAAAAGAGGATTCTGAAAAACGAATACTTGGGGAAAAAATTCATTAAATATGATATAGAATATATTATCCAGAGAATTCTACATCTCCGATTGTTAGCGAAAAAGAAGGAAGTTTCTGCCGCTCCACTTCAGCTTCAGATACTTTTGCATACAAACAAAACGGGAGCGTAGTAAACAGTCATCAGCTATAGTAAAAACTAACTACCATGAAAGAGCTTTTTCTTCTTTACCGATTCACTTATCAATCATTTAATTTTCTATGGACTGTACCATCTAATTAAGTAATCACTAGTTTCCAACATAAGTAATATGATTTACGACTCCAAAACACTCATATCTTACGTGTAGTAATATTGTCAAAGTAGACTACGGTTGATGAGAAGGCTTGTTATGGGCATAACAATTCATTTTCTTAAATGGATATTATTTCTTTTTTAATTCAATTTGGAATGACTTGGATTATCCCGTTGTTGATAATTTTCTATACTAAAATTCAATCAGCTTTGGTTGGCATATAAGCATCTTGTGCGGATTGGCCTGATATATCTCCATTAAGATACAAGTTGATATAAAATAGACGAACTGTGACTAACATTTGGAATCTAGAACGTATGTTTCACCTAATTTGGGACTCGTCAATTGAATTTATTTGCATTCCAGGGTTGATTTTCTTTCTGGAATTCGAAAGCAGTACCGTTCATTTCAAACACCAACAAATTATCTACTTAGCGCATCCTAGTTTCCAATACCAACCATATTTCATTTATTCTATATAAAACTATAGCTTTTTGTTGTACTTCAAAAATTATCAAAAGAGTCAGATAAATGAAATACATTTAATTGAATAAAATTACATATAAACATATAAATGAAATATAATACCGTAGAATAAATGCTGTTTGACGAATATTTGTAATGATTTCTTTATTAGCATCAAAACGACCAATTAAACGACGCGTACATTCTGAGTTTAAAGCTCGTGCTACTAATGAACCATATGAAATATGAAGCTAAATGAAATAGAAAACAAAACAAAATCTTTATAAGAAAATAGAATAAAATCATCATTTGATTATATAAAAATTACTGACATGTGATATATATTCTGATAGATAAATTGTTAATTGAATCAATTTGAATAGAATATGCATTTTGTTGTATTCGAGGATTGTAATTTATTTTTTTTCTTCTGAAGCGGGATATTCTTCTTCTTCTTACGCCTGTTACTCCTAATGGAGCATAGGCCGCCGACCAGCATTCTCCAACTCACTCTGTTCTGGGCCTTCTTTTCTAGTTCCATCCAATTCTTGTGGGATATACCTAGATATTAATTTTTTTTATATTGAAAGTAACAAATCCATTCAACTCTATTAGTACGTTATTCCTTAGAATAATGGATCATAACAATCATCAAATTACTTATTGAAAATAAATAGATGATACAATAAGCACACTCATTATCAAATGTGGTTGATCATAGTTTTATTATTTCCTAAATTTCAATTACGTATTCTAATTGCTCTATTGACATTTCCTAGATATACAGTGATAGAACTTAGGCTAAGAAAGAAAATAGTTACAGATTATCACTTTTCATGTTAACTGAATGTTAGTCTATAATCCAAGAAGATCATACAAAAACATAGTATGAGTGATAGCTTTTGGTTAGTAGCCAGAACTGTATAAGGAAGTATACACTGTTTAATGAAACTTTACAAGATGTTCACAAAAAGAACTCAGCAGTATAATTCAGGATAACATGTTTATTATCAAAATTGATGACTTGAATGCAAATAATAAACAGTGTATTTTGTAAATAAAGGGTAATGCCTTTAAATTATAATGTTAATGAAGATATCTTAAACATGATATATATCGCAATTGTCTACAGATTGAACAAGTTTATTCTAAATGAACTAGTAACAAATCATATGTTACAATGATATATATATATATATATATATATATATATATATATATATATATATATATATATATATATATATATATATAAGTTTAATTAATAAGAAAAGTTCTATAACTCATTACAGTTTTGATGTGAATAGAGAAAGAGGTTATAACAAACAACGGAAGCTATTTTTGAGGACATTGATTCACTTAATTCAAAGTTTGCGAACTATTAACATTTATTTTTACCTTTAAGCTATTCTGTAAACCATAAACTTTTGTTTAATGCATAATTGACTGACATATTTTGTTCTCTTCCAAAATTATTGTGATTTAAATGTAACCTTTTGTGATCTAATTGTCTACTGTAATGCCTAGTTTCGACATAATTGTATCTTTCCAATTTTCAGTTTGGGGTTGTGGAGATTGTTGAATTTCATCGAAATCACAAACCGATCAATGTTAGACCACCAATGAAAATATGAAAGCACTGTACGGCCGTTTCATCCTGTTATGGGATTTCCCAGCAGTGTGCACCTGCGACCCCACAATCGGGAATTGAAACCAAGACCTTCGGTCTCGAACACGAACACAACCTCTGAATGACTGAGCCGGCACCCAATGGTGTTAATGTCTCACTTCAACCAATTCATGATGTCGCGCGTCCAGTGCTTCCTGGTATTCAATAGTGGTCTAATACTGGTCGGTTTATGGTTTCAATGAAATCCTTCTAATTGTTTGTGAGTTGCGGTTGTGTTATATATTTTTTCAGTTATTTCTGAATGAGGAATAAATCGAATAATATCTCAGTTGACTCGTCTTCTCTCTCCTCTGTCGACCAATAAGGTGATAGAGCAGTTTCATCTCTCTTCCCAAGACCGTCAGTCTCAATTCCGATTCACGCATTTCTAATCTCAAGGTTGAGCCACTTAGCCTATCTTGTCAAGGCCTCTACCTAGATCGAGACAAGTTCTCTTCTGTATATTACTGGGTAAACAGATCAAAGATGTAGCAAGTTCATATAGTTATAACCAAGATTTATATAAGGATAAAAAAATCACCTAACCAGAACAATACGCATCATACTAGTGTGCTATATTATTTTTCTTAAAAATACCATTCAGAAGGTTGTATAGAATCGTGTACTTGTCTTCGGGTAACGCTTAAATTGTGAGAGGTTGGGGTAATATTACTACAAGAACTACTAATCAGTTGCCTGAACTGAAATAAGAAGAAAAGGTAATGAACTTATGAGGTTTTGGTTAAAATTCGAAAAACTTGACCAGTGGGCAAACACACAGCATACGAAAAAACTATCAACGATTTAATCAAGTACGATCTACATTCTGACACTAACAATCTCAGCATGATCAGAAAGAGAGAAAGGGAGTAAACTAACGATATGAAAGGCAAATAAATGGAAACTGTAATCATTATTAATATAATGGTAAAATAAATAATCAGAATATAGTTTGAAAAAGAAAATGAATACAGTAAAATTAGATGGAGATAACGAATGAATGGGGGTACACCACATCTAACCTCTACAGCTGTTTAATATATATATATACCAATAATAACAATAATAATAATGATCAACAGTGATTTATGCATATTGTCAAATTGTCTATATTCAAAACAGGATTGATCAAAGAGAATAAAATAGAGCGCATGAAACATGTGAGTGAAATGAAATAAATGCACATTGTTATTTTTCATCATATTAAGGAATTTCTTTGTAAAAAAAAACTGTTATCGGTTGAATAACCAATAAAAAATATGGAGCAGTGAACTGATGGTTCATTCTAATCTAGAACTAAATCTTCAAAAAAGAACACTAAAGACTAATCCAGGTGTCGAGTTCCGGATATGTAGATTTCACAATGAGCACAATATCTTGAAAGCATTAAGTTGGAATTTGATCGTCCACAACTTAAAATTCAGACAATATACGATAATGTGATAATCATTCAATGTTATCAATGAATTTCTACATAACTATAGGTTATACAGAGACCTTATGTAAAACATATCTGGAAACCTGTCGCGCAGGTACAGATGTATTCATTCTGTGTCTTCATCTATATAATAAAATTTCAGATTTTTTCATAATTCGTATTTTATCGTCCTATATATTCTATTCGAAATATGTTTTGAATGCCAGAATTTTAACTATCACACATTGTAATATATTTACTTCCACCTGTTACCCTTCGTGGAAGTGTATACGCTGCCCACCAACATTTTACGTCCAAACCTATCCTCAACAATCCTTCCCAATTGTTCCCAGTTGCTATTTATCCTTTCCATGTCTGTTCCCAATTCTCGACTCAGTATTTTCTTTGGCCTTCCTCTTTTCCATTTCCCTTCAAGATTCCAAGTTAAGACTTGCCTCAGGATGCAGTTTGACGATTTCTTCAATGTATGACCCATCCACCTCCAGTGTCTTTTCCTAATCTTCTCTTCAACTGAAAGCTGGTTCGTTTTCTCCCACAGTAGGTCGTTGCTGATATCACCGGTCAATGGACATTCACTATCTCGCATAGAAAACTGTTTAGAAATAATTGTATGTTTTTGATGATGGTTGTGATGGTCTGCAAGTTTCAACTCCATACAGGAGAACTGTCTTGATGTTCGTATTGAAGATTCTCACTTTGATATCGGTTGACAGTTATTTTGAGTTCCATATGTTCTTCAACTGTAGGAATGCTGCTCTTACTTTGGTGATCCGTGCCTTTACATCTGCACCGGATCCTCCTTTTCTATCGATGATGCTGACCGGGTACGTAAAACTGTCCAACTCTTTCAGAAATTCTCCACCAAGTGTGATTTGGTTAGTGCTCGTTGTGTTGTATTGGAAAATTGGGTTTTTCCGTTGTGTTTGTTTAGGCCTATTGATGCAGAGGCTTCTGCTGAACTGGTTGTTTTGACCAATTAATTTATTGTCACTGTGATGGTGTGTGGCTATTCGGAATGTGGAATATTTGCACCAAGTCCAACAGTTTCTAATGACTCATTGTTTTTTTCAAAATTGAATGCATAATAAGTAGTAAATGGATTTACATAACTGTAATCTCAATAATGAATCACCTAATCAAAAGTTTATATCAACAGATGATGTTCATTTAAGTAGACTTTTTTTATCTTCTTACAAAGTGTCAAGCAAAGAAGAAGCATAGACTACTGACACCATTATTTAGGTTTATCGCTTCTAACTTATACCCCTATTATTTAAAATGATTGACTTACTACACTACTTATTATCTAATAGTGAAAACGTGGCTTAACGGCTAAGGCACTTGACTTTCAGCCAATAAGTCCAAGTATTGAACCCGCCCTACCTACTTCGATTTGAGAAACTTGGTGATACCACTAGCCCTCACACTTGCAGTGTGGCTCATATCCGTGTACCTAGAGAACGAGTTCATATAGTTTTAATTTATTATTATCTCGTGAATTAAGTCATCGGTAGTGTAACCAGAAAAGAACAAAGAATATGGTCCGAAATGTCTAACTTTTAGTGAGTAAGCGGTTATAAGAAATTATTATCATACCATTTTTTTAAGTCAACTGATAACGCTTAAGTTACAGAATACAACTCACAACACTGCAGACACATACGATATAGAGCGGTAGGTTAATGGTCAAATCAATGAGATTTCAACTAATAGATCACAGATGCGAAGGTTGTTCCCCCTACATTGGTTCCCCACAATTAAATAATGTCACAACTGGTGTACTTCAGGGTCGAGTACATAAATGTTTATTTGATAAATGACCTACTCGAGTTATATAAGGAAAACATAATTTGTTCAGTTTTTAGTCTAGAAATGGTCAGAATAAGAAACGACATTAATCTACTAAGTTATTTGTTATAAAACTGAACAGCGTGCGGAGACTTTCCAGTTGAAATTCCCTAAATATGATAAATAATTCGCTCATCTTTAAAAATTATAATCTTATGTCAAACGTCCCACCACAAGCGATTTTATAATTTCGATAGTTTTTTCTTTTCCACTTGTTAATTTCCACCTATCGTGTAAATGTGATATACACCAACTAGAATAGATCCACATTTGTTCCAGTTCCTAATCAAGATAGT